CTAGAAGGTGTGCAAATTTCAACCCCCTACGATATACCGTCTGCCCTGTAGGCCGGCTAAATTGAACCCACTACACGGCGTGGCGGACAGACAAACAGACAGATGGATCCTGTTCAAATAGTAAGATAGATTTCTAACTTCGTCAGAAGTCAACCATTGGCCTTGGCAAGGTCAACAACGAAAATCGAATATTTCGATTTTCGGTAATTAACTTGTTTGGCAAAATAATGACAGAGCGATCAGCGACATTGACCCTTTGGCCAGGACGGGTGGGAACGATCCCTCTCCCTCCCTCCCTCCCTCCCTCCCTCTCTCTCTCTCTCTCTCCTCTCTCTCTCTCTCTCTCTCTCTCTCTCTCTCTCTCTCTCTCCCTCTCCCTCTCCCTCTCCCTCTCTCTCTCTCCCTCTCTCTCTCCCCCCCCTCTCTCTCTCTCTCTCTCTCTCTCTCTCTCTCTCTCTCTCTCTTTCCAAACAAAGCCAAATCACCGCGAGCGACCTTCAAGGATAGTATCGTTTGTATTCGGCGGGGTGAGATCGTCGCTGACGGGGTCGTTAGAGTTAAGACTGCTAAATCATGAGCTATACCTGCGCTGCCTTTGGCTGCCGCATTTTGTGGTTTTACTGGTCAGTCCCGGAGAGGTAGACGGAAGGAAGAAAGCTGGAAAGAAATGGGAGAGCAAAATGTAAATAAATGAAGGAGGTTCAGCATAAAGAGACGAGAGAGAGAGAGAGAGAGAGAGAGAGAGAGAGAGAGAGAGAGAGAGAGAGAGAGAGAGAGAGAGAGAGAGAGAGAGAGAGAGAGAGAGAGAGAGAGAGAGAGAGAGAGAGAGAGAGAGAGAATGAGAGTGAGAGTGTGTGTGTGTGTGTGTGTGTGTGTGTGTGTGTGAGAGAGAGAGAGAGAGAGAGAGGAGAGAGAGAGAGAGAGAGAGTCCAGAGAAAAAAATGCAGTTAAAGGGACCCTCCCACCTTCAAAAAAGTTAATGAATCGGCACGAAAGTGATGTCGCTCGGTTCAGAAAGAGCGAAAACGAATATCTACCAAATTTCATCGAAAAATATTCACCGGTTTTCAAGATATTAGACTTTTACTTTCGTTTACTTCTTGGGATCTCCGCTGTTCCTAGCGACTTTATTTGAAAGTGCGGCATTTGTTGCGCGCAAAGCAACATATACCACTGCGTGCTACCAAACGTTTTAGTAAAAGATTTAAAAATCGTTAGATCTCCGCTGACGTCACAAATTCTAAGGGGGCATACCAATGCACTAGCCCCTTAGAATCCGAAAACTGCAAGATTGAAATTCCATATCTCCGAATTAAAGCATTTGTCGATGTTGTGAGTGCCCAAACCGGTATTTGCAGGCCATGGCCACCAATTTGGCTATCTCAACTCAAAACTAATGTTAAGGTGGGAGTGTCCCTTTAACAGTAATCCGCTTAGTGTACTGTAAACAAGCGCACCACCTACACTTTTTACGAAATTAAATTTATTCATTGACACGCACGTGCACGTGCTCATAGCTCTTGTCAGAAGGCTCGCATTATTATCAGCTGACTACCAATGTTAATGAAATTATGGCATGACAATCATAATTATGCGTTTCTGATCTGTCCTTTATCGTCGACCGCATTATGCAGGGTGGCATGTAAATGTTCTTGTTTTCATTATGGATAAGTTCTTTGTTATTCACGTGGCAGCTTTGAAGCTAGCTTCAAAGCAAAATAACTAATGAGCGAGTCACGGGCTTTCGTTGGCAGACCAAAAACAAACTTTTAATTTTGTCCAGGGTGGTGCCATTTTTTGTTGTGATGCCCTTTTCGTTGTACAATATTGCCAACTAAGCCCATAGTGGAACACGTTTTTCTTTTGCGCTCATTTGTGACTAACCTTACGAGTATATCGCTTTTTTTCAAAGAAATTATGGAAATCAGAAACAGTGCTTGACTTGGAAAGGTGATTACTGGCATTACTGCAAATATATAGAATCTAATCGTCCACATGTTATCCGATTTTACCAAAGACAATACACGAATGCTCATTGCTCTGGCAACTATTAAATACGTTGATGAACCTTTAAATCGTGGGCCTGTCCGGCAGGCCACCCCCCCCCTCGTTTACGGCGAGGGGACAGAGCAGTGTGGGGGGGGGGGGGCGAGCTCTGCACGCTGCTGAGACAATACCTACCGGTGTGTCTGCATTTATGTAGTTACGACAGGGTGGGCCTCTGGCGCCAATATTAAACCGCGCCCCACTGGGGTCTGCGTATAACACGCCCTACTGGGGGGGGGGGGGGCTATTCATAGCCCCCCCTCCTAACTCCGAAACTACTGGGCCGATCGTCAAAATTCAAACGGCGTCTGATAGCCCCGCAAAAACTGTCGAGCGAAACCTAATTTCATTGACCTCGAGGTCACCGATGACGTCACAGGTCAGGTCAAAGTAAAAATTATAAGCATTTTGGCTTCTTCACGTTTTGGGCTCTGGCCGCCGTCTTACAAGTCAGATCAGGCTCATTTTTGGTTCACACACTCGTGAACAGATGCTCTAGATACTCTGAGGGTACCAAACTTGTACTTTGATTTTCAGGTCAAGGTCAGGTCATCACAGGTCACGAAAATATTATATCATCCGTCGGTCACGTGACACATGTTTTATGGTCCATTTAGGCCAAACATTTCGAATTTGATGTCGTCTGTGTCATTCGAGGTCATTTTGAGTCAAATTTAGCTCAGGTCAGGTCACTTTCAGGTCAAAAAAGGTCAAATTTTGAAGTTAAAATTTTTCAACAAAAAAGATGTTTAGGTATTGGATGCAGTTTGAGCTCAGGAACACGATGGTGCTATTTATATTGGCGTACGATGTCAAATTCGTGCTGAAAAATTGATTTGAAAAATTAATAATTGTTAATTTTTTGCAATAATGCGTATAACTTGGCCATTTTTGAAGATATTTAGCTTAAACTTGCTAGAGTTAGTCATAATAATGCGTTCTATCACATATATTCCGTTTTTTTCGAAAAGTCAAAAAGTTTTTGAAAAAATGTAAAAAATATAAATTTTGAATTTTATTATATGAAATTTTCGAAATTCTCAAAATTTCGAAAATCTGAGATAGCAGTTTGATAGCACAGTCTATTCTGAGTCCTTTCATGCAAAGAAATTGGATCTAGCTTAAAAACTGAGCTCTTGGGAGCGATTGCCGTGGTTCAATGTTTTGCGTCGAAATCGGCCGAACATGACGTCACTCTGACGTCATTTCCGGCCGACCTATGGTAGGTACGAAGTTCAAATTTCGATAGGCGGCGGCCGCGGCCATAACGGCCGGAGCGACACCAGCGCCACCATCGGCGGCCGGTCGGAACTATCGCAACGGATCGCACGTTAATTCAAATTATTTAGTAACGATACGTTATGCTTCAACGAAACCTTAACTGAAAATTTAAGAAAAATGCATTTCATATTATAGCTTAATTTCATGATACATCTCGCGATGTAAATAGGTATTTTAATGGATAATTTGATTAGTAAATAATTGCATCGCTTCAATTAACTAATAATATCATTGCACATATTTTGCATTCGATAAATGCCCCACCGGAATATGAAAGCCCACAAAGTAAGCTTTCTAAAAATGTATATTAGTTACAAGTCAGTGATGGCTTATGCTACTTTTGACGCGATTGTTTTCGTTATCGGTCGATATAACATACACTTTTACTATATTCCAACGCATACAACTCAGTCAAATTTGAATATTTCGTTAATGCCCCAGTAGATAATTAAACATCAATTAATTGCCGTTCGAATGATGTTACGCATGCCTCAATGGTGCTTACCCTAAGCTACTTTTTTCTCGTGTCTTGATAAGCAAGCACTAGGCAAAATTGTGGTATCACCATAATTAACTAATAAAATTAATGAATAAATGACACCTTCGATAAATGCCCCACCGGAATACGAAAGCCCACAAAGTAAGCTTTCTAAAAATGCATATTAGCCACAAATCAGTGATGGCTTATGCTACTTTTGACGCGATTGTTTTCGTTATCGGTCGATATAACATACACTTTTACTATATTTCAATGCTTACAACTCAGTCAAATTTGAATATTACGTTAATGCCCCAGTAGATAATCAAACAGCAATTAATTGCTATTCGAATGATGGTACCCATACCCCCATTGCGCCTAGCCTAAGCTGCTTTTACCCCCTGTCTTCATTGCCAATCACTGGGTGCAATAGCGGTCTCAGGCCTTATCCGGGAAAAAAATGATTTTTAGGGTGAGGGGACAAACGCTAAAGCTATTTCTTTCAAATGTGGCTACTTAAGCGTTTCAAAGAAGAGTAAAATTTGAGAACTTCACTTACCTGAACATAATTTACTTAATCTTAAAAATTGACTACCTAATCAAAGTATCAGTAGGCATGATCCAAACATGTAGGTAGGTACCTAGGCATGGCGGCGATGGGAGAAACCTGTCAGGGTGCGGGCCAGTTATTTTCATGTTCAATCTCTTCATATTGACGCAATCAACGTCGCGTAAATATAGAATGTATATTCTTCGCAAGTAGCATATCAATACATTTATCACAAATCTAATGCAGTCACATAAACACATTTTGACACGCACGCTCACGCACCAGATTCTGATGCGCCAACATTTTGATAGTTGCACATTCGCTCGCAATTCAAGTCACATAACAATTTTTAGCTGCCTTCAACAGCCGGCGGCCGTCCTGCGTCAAGGCATGTCGCATTCCGTCCTGTTTTTCAACAGATTGTTGGGTAAACACTTGCATAGATTCTGCCCGCCCAGTAGTTAAATCACAAACATGAAATAACTGAATACGAAGAAAAAAACGGGCCGATCATGGACAACAAGAACACCGACAGGATCATTTTCATTAAGTTTGCAACCTCGTGGCGAAGTTAATCGAGATCACGACTTATCGTCCTATAGGTTCATAACTTTTACACACTTTAGAAGTAGCAGTCGCAGCTGCATCCCGCTTTGGAGGCCGAGGAAATCCATGGCAGGAGGGCAAAAACAAGATCAATATGATTTTGTGACAGCCGGCTTTATCTAAATTACTGAACTCCACTTTTCGTCCCGAACAGTGATTTTTCCTCGGCATGCTATTTTACTCTGAATGAACTCGTGACTCGAGGTTTAGGAATTTCGCGCCGATTGAAGTTCGTCGGAAGCACGGAGGACGTTTCTTTGTCTAGGACGAGTGGTACGCGTGCCTCCATTGCGTGTATCCCCACTGCGTTTCCAGCTGGCAAATCTCGGTGCTGACGATGTCCTTTAGGTCCACTAAACGTTGATGCACGTAGGTGTCGCACTCATCTGCAAAGAAAAGCCAAATTGTTACAAAAAAAATTGTCTTCAGTGTCACTGTCATTCATCAGAAGGCTCATATTTAAAACCCCTTAGCCCTAGGTAAAAAGATATTATGAGGAATTTCGGTCCCCACTAGTGAAACTTCACATTCATGTGTGAGCAGCCTGATGGTAATATTCTTATTTGTGAAACAATAAATACAAACTGATAACTGACACTGACACTACTATGAATCAGCCCAGAAAAAGAGCATATTACCTAGGTACTTGACAAATGGGATACCAATTTCAAAAAAAGCAAGTCAATTTTTCAAAGCAGCCTGAATTGATATATGCAGTAGGGGTACCCATTTTTCCCGATTTTGGAAATTTGAGGGTGGGGGTGGTTTTTCCCATTATTTCGCGGCTCCTGATTCCAATGATGCCAAAAATATTGAAATCAAAGGTGGTTTAGGGGTCGCGAATTGAGATTGAACTTTGCGTATTTACCTAGAAATATGTCTATTTTACGCTGATGGTAAATCGCACCAAAGCCAAACTTTTTGTTTCGAAAGTAGGGTAGAGGGGTCATTGAGCGCTCCTTTTTCATCCAGATCGATGTGCTCCATCACGTGGTTCCGGTTAAATGCTTTACTAGCGATCAATACAAGTCGATATTGTAACATTTGGTGAAAAGCGCCGTGATGTTTTGCTCCTGTTGTTGGTATCATTCTGGTCGGCGTGTTATCATTTTTGATATCTTCTGCCTTCATGTGACCTTTGGTGACCGTTGGTATTGGTGACCTTTGATGACCTGTGAGATCAAACTTAAATTTGACGTTTCAGTTGCCACATCTCAGTTCATGACAGGCTTTTTGTGTCCATACAATTAAAGTTTCCGCAAGTTAGCTCAGGATACATCTCAGCAGATCATGGCTCCGAATGGATTTCAAACCATGTAATTCAAAAACGATCAAACCATTTTGACCGTATACTTCCACAAGAAACGCCGTCCTAATCGCTGACCACAGGCGGCGCCGGCGGAACGGGGAGGGCACCGGGGCACCGTGCCCCCTTTGATTTTGGCATTTTAACATTAGCCCTTAGGGCGTTGCATGGAAAGAATGGGACCAAAAGTCGGCAGTGCCCCCCTTAATTGAAGGTGCTCCACCGCTACTGTCGCTGACGGCTACGATGTAATACACCTATGAGACAAGGTAGAATAAATCTGGGTGTTCTACAAAAAAAAATCAACTTCTAATCCAAAAACATAAACTCCAAAGCGTCGATTCTTTCCATGCCTACCAACCATGTATATACCTACTATGTATTCCATTTCTTCAGTGGGGACAGATACGAGTACACACCGTTCTTAAGTGTAAGAGTTTCCGAAACAATGCACCATCATTTACGACTTTGCACTTTCGACCACGGGCGACTAGCCATGCGCTGATACGTGCATAGCTGATACGTGACGAAGACCTTTCACAGCTCTCCTTGTGATCTGAGGTAATTGGCGTCTGAATCTGAAGAACCTAATGAAGCAGAAGATTTTCATCCTGCATGGGCCGTATGGTGGTAACCAGGACGCGGCGTCATATAAAGGAGTGTGCGTGCAGAGACTGAAGACGAGGAGAACTAGGTCCGCCACCTAAGGTCCATGGCCCACCCACTGTGTCGGCCCCCAGGCAATGCCAGGAGTCAGTAAACGGATCTGCCTCGGAGTTGGCTGAGTCGTTTAGATCTCGGCACCTTCCTAATTTTCAGCTTTAGCCAATGCCATTCGAGTTCAGATCAGCACATTTAGGGCCTTGATCAGCACCATCTGAGGGTTTGGACTGGGCATGTAGAGTGCAGCGTAAGGTCCGTTATCTTCAAGGATGCTGCTGGCAGCGGCCATCACCAGGCACTAGTTCCATGACATGATATCTGCACCCGTCTCAAGTCAACAATATGTCAACAGTCTCAACAAAAGTCTGTATGTGGGTGTGGGTGTTTTTGGGGGAGGGGAAAAGCTACACTCATACAGCAGCCATCCCACAGCGCGGCGGTGTAAAGCTTGCGTCCCTCTTCAGCTGTCTCTGCAACTCCGGGACTCGGGGAGGTCGGCTAGCGAATTGGCAAAGGTCATGCATACCCGCATAGCTTCAGTGCTGTTTTCATCTCGTTATAGATATAAATAGGCCATTAGCAACTTATCTATCTGCTTCATGCCATATTTCCGTTACAATACGACACACGAGTTATATCGTCACATCCGTTACGGCTTTTAATGCCCCTCCCACCCAGATTGTGTCAATATTCATTGTTTGCGTCCTGGGGTTCAGTCATTTCTTTTGCTGAATAAGACGACTCATTGAAAACTAAATGGTCCTAATGAGAAAGCTTCGATCACTGATTTTAGCCCTCTGACTATATAGCCAGTCGTTCTAAGAGTTACGGTCTTGTGTAGGTAGGTACCTACTAATGACGGTCTAAACCACAGTGAGTGTAAATGAGCATATGCTGTTCATTGATCAAAATGATATTTTTGGTGCTCTCTTTTACCGCTGCACGTCGAATATACCCACAACTAAAGCAATGTTGCACGGTGTCCAACAATCATTAATACCACTGCAACACATTGGCTTTGCGCATTTATATCCATTCATATGAAGTCATTTTTCCAAGTAAAATTAAAACTTCCAATGCAAGCTCGCGATCCCTAAAAGTGGTCTGATATCGTTATTTCTGTCACTGCTAGATCCAGAACGGAGCGAATAATGGTAAAAATCGACCCCAAACCGTTGGCATGATAACTTTGTCCCGACATAAAATAATGTTAATTTGGTCGATTTTTCGCTAAAATTGACCTTTTCATTTTGAATACGTGACCTCTAGAAATCGTTTGGTTTCGTTATTTTTGGCACAGATGGAATCAGAATAGACCAAATAATGGGAAAATCCACCCCCACCTAAAATTTGAAAAAATTGACCCAAAAATGGGTACCCCTAATATGCAGGCTAGAAGCATATGCCTACTATCTGAGGAGTTAACAAGCAGCCGTTTAATGAAGTGGGTTGCAGACTGCAGAGCCACCACAACAATTCTTGAAACTGCACATGAGTGACACATGTTCTGATTTCAGCAGCATGTTGTAATGGCATTGGGTGGTAATGGCATACTAATAAATTTAGTAGGCACTACTTGTTGCATCAATGTTAAATAGGGAAGATCAATACATACTTGGGAAGCTGATGTCAAAGGTAGTTATGAAAGAATCACTTCAAACAAGTTATGAAAATGTTGTGAAAGGGTTCCAAATAATTTACAAAAGGGCAGTGTTGAATGACTGCAGTGTCACAAAATTATATTAATGCTTGGGTGTTAGAGGGGAAAATTCCTCTCCAAAAAAAAGGGATGAGGGTGGTATATTCTTGATAAAGTTAGCCCCGCCCCCCCCCCCAAAAAAAATAAAGAACAGAAGAAGGAAAAATTGCACACTTTTCTGTACAATGGTAGAATCTGATGCGATCATGCTATAGATGCTCTTTCATGAGTGGTAAATTGCTATTGAAAGTTGGAGGTGGGAGTGGAAAATTATTTTCATTTGGATGTCTTGTTCCACCCAAATTGACAAATTTTGGGACACTGCGAATGAGTTATGAAAATTTTGCCAAAGGGTTCAACAAGTTAACAAAAGTGTTGTTTGAAATGAGTTATGTAAAGGCTGTGAAAGAGTTATGAAGAATTTGCAAAAGTGTTCCTTCAAAAGAGTTACGAAAAGGTTCCGAAGAGTTACAATGAGTTAATGAAGAGATTTTACGAATGAGGTATGAAAAGTTGTCAGGGGGTCACAAATATTCTATGAGAAATTTGCTTTGAATGAATTATGAAAGGGCTGTGAAAGTGTTACAATAAGTTAATGAAAAGCCTCTTTCGAATGAGTCAGGAAAATGTCGCGAAAGGGTTGCAAATAATTTACGAAAGAGTTATTTTGAATGAGCTATGAAAATATTGCACATAGTTAAAAATAAGTTATGAAAGGGTTACTCTGAATAAACTAATAAAAGGCTGAGAAAGGGTTACCATGAGTTTACGAAAGGGTTGTTTCAAATAAGTTATGAAAAGGCTGCGAAAGGGTTACGAAGGGCTTGCGTAAAGGCTTAGTGAAAGGGTTGTGACCTAACAAGTTGCGAAAAAATCACAGCAGCTTTAGGAAAAGAATATGAATGGAGAAAGAAGTAACAAATTTTGTTGCAACAAGTGAGGAACGATGTCACACTAATGGGGCTATAATTATACTCAGAAATAAAAAGCATCTCAGTCTAGTCCATGAAGACTGAAGAGCAGGCTGCACTTAATTGGTGGCTTACCTCGAAATCACTGGCCGACTCACCCCTTCCACTAGATTGATCGGGCGATTAAACACCTTTTTTCAAATAACGGAAACCCAGGCAATTGCCTAAAACCCAGAAGAAACGTTTGAACCGCTGGAAATGCCGAGAAATTGGCGGCAATATACGACCCCCACCAAACACGATTTGGCAGCACTGTAAGGACGCCTGCTGGGCGTGAAGTTTTCCCTTCACCATAGGGTTTACACACAAACTGGTCAAAGTTTGAGCCAGGATATACTAGTCTAAAAATGCAAAAAACGAACAAATTTTGGCATCAATAGATTCAGCATTTCATCGTGTGCCTCAAACCGTCCATCATTTGGCCTCAAAGGAGGTAAAAATTGTTCAAAATCGAAGTTGAAAAGATGCTTTCTGAGCACATAATCTGGTAGCAATCACGTGACCTGCTATAAGCAGTTTATCGATAATTTACAAACATAATTATTAATATGCTGCTTTAAACAAGATTAATCATACATTTTGAGCTTTCAGTACTTTAAATAAGGTCAAAACATCGCAAAACACAAAAGTTAATACAATAGTCACGTGGGTGTCAGGAAATGTCACAGGTGCGTCAAATTTGTGACTGGGGCTTTACTTTCAAACATCGGATATACCTGTTTCTTATAGGTATCTTGGCAATATACAGGGAGGGTACACTGCGCAACAAATGTCTCATAAGCGCATGGAACGTATGCAGTTTCCAAAGCTCTTGATAATATCAAGAACATGTTTTTTTTTTCTTCTAATCCCCATCTGGCCAAATGTCCGCCTTTACACGGGGCCTGCACCCTAACGTTGACACAAGGTGTCAAATTGATGCAGCCGAAGGTACTGAAAGGTTGGCGTCGATACGTCAAGCGGTTTGGAAGTTATTGCAGAAAAACGGGGGGCTATAAATAGCCCCCCCCCCCCCAGTGGGGCGCGGGTTAAAACCTGAACTCCATTAAAAAACACACACAGTCACACACATCCATAGAAAACAACCCGGGTCAGAGGACACAATACCACGGAGCTGCTACAGAGGGTTGACCAAGGGAAAACACTTCGCTTACCTCGTGGATGTTTGGACTGTTTGCCCGTGGTTACGCGAAACCGCCCATTACTATTGAATGAATCATCATGGGCAAAGTAATGGGTTGCGTGCTGCCAATGCGTGCTGCCGATCGGTATGCACTGCATAGTGCGTAGCTTACCATGACACCATACATAAACGTTTAGGAGCCAAGTGCAACGCATATGCCCTTATCTGACATGACTGCATTAATGGGCGATGGTTGAGATGGATATCGGACATTGAATTATTATCCATGGGTGGAGCTTTTCCAGAGAAGTTGGTGGGACAAAAAGTCGTCAAACCCACAATGTCTGATTGTCCAGTTTAATAAAATGTCATACCGAGTTTACTCCTATCATTACAGATACCATATTTTGTATTACACAGACATTCAAAAGCCCCTGAATGCGAAAAAGTTTGGTTTGCAAAGCAACAAAGTCCCACAATCTGCTTAAGCTGGTGAGGAAAAACGCTAATTGGTGAGGCAAAATGGGAAGTTGGTGGGGCAGCTGCCTCATCAACTGTATAGGAAGCTCCGCCCCTGCTCTTATCCTGTAATACCAGAAATGCAAGGCGATACCTGAGAAGTGGAGTTCACACTTCTATGATTTTGTTTTGGATGACACTAAGCGTTATTTGACGGGGCATTTCCGTATGTCTTGCGGCTCTTACGCCTCGGTGCGTCCATCGACTCTGCGTTTCACAATGCCTTGATTCCGGGGACTCCCATTGAGTCCTGGCGGAGCGATCAGTCGGAATCAGTCCTGAGCCGGGCGACTGAAGGGATGCGAACCATTAGTGATGTCCTGCCCGCTCTGGTCACCAGAGCCCGAGGGGAATTCTCCGGAGTTCTGCGGAATCTGGCCGTCTTCCTGGTGGCTACCGATCTGTGGTGTGGCACAGGTCAGGGTCAGAGGTCTTGGTATCAGAGGTCAGGGCGACGGGTGCATTCGTAATCCTCCACGTCTATGAGCTTAACCATAAAATTAAAATGTGCTAAACACAGGTCTTTAAGTGGGTTCATACAATGATTGTCGCTCGTCTCAGTTCTTGCAAATCACTGATGCTGTGTTGCCTGTCCAGTCACATCAACCACAGAAGACCCGTTGCTGGCCCTTTCCCACGTTACCATACACAGACTGACATTTACCGCCCACATAAAGGCGTGGCATTCTCTGTCGTCTGTCGCCGACAATCGGGTATCACAGGCCGACAGGTCACAGTATTGACGGACTGTGTGGCCTCCCCCCCTGTTGTCGGCGTGTTTGTCTGTTTGTCACTTTGTCTGTCGGACAGTGCCGCAGCCAATCAGAGCGGCCGCGGGTCAGGTGTGACCTTTTGGGGGTTATTGTCGGTCGGCCGTCACATCGCACCGGCAAACACAGGGACTGGAGAGGGGGGGGGGGGGCACGGGGTGGGAGCTGCCATTAGCCGTTTTCACGGCGGGCTATCTGACGAATGCACCTAATTTGATCAAATGTGCACCAAATGTCTTGTACAATAAAGGTCGTTCTCCACGGTACATGTTTTGCGCGTTTTTAATGACGTTTTAACGATTTTTTGATGTTTTGCGAGTTTTTCATGATCCGGCGTTGATCTGTACCGTTAAATTACACGGTGCCATCTCCACGGCGGAAGATTTGTCAAAAATCGAAAAACGCGTGGCTTCATAAAATCAAAAAACTGCAAAACTCGTAAAACGCGTCAGGTTGTGTCATGCAAAACTCGTAAAACCTTTAAAAAACGCAAAACTCTCATTTGTAAAAACGCGCGATTTTATCCAAACATTTGGATCGAATGAAAGTTTTCCGGTTTTTGACAAAGCTAAGAAGGTAATCCTTCTGCTATTAATACCATTTTACGGTGAAATGGATGCAATGGAAAGTGTGGAAAGCGATGAAACGCAATTTGGTTGAGCCAATGATCATGGCAAGTACTCAGACAACCATACCAATAACTTCTGTTGCTATTCCAACGATGTGGATGTCAAATAATTATATAGTGAGTCTATGGATAACAGATATTACGATATCAGATCATTTCAGATAATTGATAATTAACTGATGTCATAGCGGTGATAACAATTTAGAGTAACGTGATGATACCCCTATAACTACATTTACAGAGAAAATCGAGGGGTTAATAGAAGCCGTGCGCCAGATACCTGCCCTGTGGGACAAGAGGGCCACGGCATACAGCGCACGAAGGGCGGAGAAAGATGTTCTTTCTCTGAAATTGAAATTGTTCTGAAATTGTAATTGTTCTGTAAACTGACAAACTAAAACCGTAAAAAGCGAAAAACTCGCAAAACTCGCAAAAGCGTCTGTTAAAAAGCGAAAAAAGCGCAAAACTCTCGTTTGCTAAAACGCGTAAAAACCGAAAATGTTTACACGTGGAGACAGTACTTAAGTGTCTTGGTGTCATGACTATATTTCAGTGTTTTAACCCGCGCACCGACGGGGGGGCGGATATCCGCCCCCCCCCTGGGGTTTTTCGCGGATAGCGGGAAAGAAATTTGGTACGACTATTCTCTCATCAATTTTGCACATGGTGTGCAAGTTTGAACCTCCTAACTTTCAAGGTCAGGTCACCAGGTCACTTTGAATGACCCAACCTCAAATCACTTTTTTGCAACTTTGTCACCGTGCCAGAGCTACAGTAGATGTCGGAGGCCTTTGAAAGTCGCAGGATGTTATTAGGTCATTAGTAGCTATAATTTGTATATCTCGGAATTTTGATGTCGGTGACCTAAGGTCAGGTCAAATTCGCGACCTCCCCATTATAAGTCAATGGGGGGAAAATCAACTCCCTGTTTTTACCACTAAAACGGGTCGGAATGGCACCATATACCATACATGACTTCATATACGATCAACCTTCACTACCTTGAGGTCTGTTTTGCTGTTGGGCAGCTGTAAGGTCATGTGACGTCATCAAAGGTCACCAGCGGTGTTTTGCCAATAACTCCGTACAGGAACAAGATACAGCCGCGCGGATGGTCTCATTGTGTTCAGCTCGTCAAGACGCATCGAATGATATACATGATGACCTCGAGGTCACGTGACCTGAGGTGAACCTTTGACCTTGACCTTTCGAGGTCAACATATATGTCATTCGATGCGGATTGACGAGAGGATCACGATGATGCCCTTAGTTTGTTCCTATCTTGACGAGTTCGAAAGTTATTCGAGAAAAACTCTCAATATCTAGCGCCGCCATTTTGACTTTTTCGACCCCTGTGACGTCATCTTTGACCTGACCTGAAAATGACCTTAGTAAAAATTGTAGACCTTGTCCGTGCGTATTCGATGCCGTTTACCGCTTGTCGCTATCTTGCTTCGTTCTCGAGATCTCAGGGGGGGGCGGTCATCCGCCCCCCCCCCGTCGGTGCGAAGTTGGCGCAGACCCCCGTCGGTGCGCGGGTTAATCGAAAATGTCTGATGATTTGAAAAAATGAGGTTTATAAGTATCCGTGCAGCCCAAACTGATAGCTTTTAAGAAACATACTGAGCCCAATTTGACCAAGTCTGCACCAAATCTGCGCCTAATCTGCACCAAATGTGTACCAGATGGCCGTCGTCAAAACGGTTATTGTCGACCCGTGAAGACAACGGGAGGGGCAGAGTGAAATTCTGGAGGATTATGATATGAAAGGACGTAGGAATGATAGCGTTCAATAGTTTGATAAGATCAGTCTCATCTTTTACACTATCATATGGCATTGATAGACATTGACATTGATAGTGGCAGGTGATGGGCTGCACAAAAGAAAGACGACTGTTGTAAAGAATCCATGGATCGACACATATAGAAAGACGGAAATCATTTGACTCATAATGCACCTACATAGGCAATCGTTTATGCAACAACAATGCAAAAACAGCAAGGATCCTGGAAAGCGAGGCATTATGATGGCCACACTGACAAGCCCCACAATAAACGATACTTTTGAGCCAAAGTACCATGCAACAAATGATAAGCTACAGTGTGCAAATAGATATGCATCGCTGCGTGCACACTGCACAACCAGTGATTAATGTACTAGTGAGATTGATATCGTTT